TCACATCTCCTTTTGTATACAAAAGAAGTGCACTTTTGCATTTTGCTTTCCTGTTTTTTAACGCGCCGACTTCTAGTATGTCTACCAATATTGATGCTAGAATACAGCATTAACAGTAAATTAAACAATAGTGACAGACTGTAACATGCTACCTTAGAGTGACTTACTTTACTTTTTTCAACTTTATCTGATTTAAACTTTATCCCTTTTTAAAGTTTATCTGGTCATTGGGTATTTCAAGGGTCACACTAATTGAAAAGCTTGTTCTTCTCATAATTTATGGCTTTATTTGCCTTAGTTGGCAGAGTGACACAAAATATACCTGTAGCACACCAAATGCTTTGGGGAATGTTTTCAGCACCCTCTGAACAATGAGAAAACATTTGTGGCATAGCAGAAATACGCCTGGACTAGAGTCAGGACAGACTTCTGAGCAGCGCCGCCAGTCTGGAAGCACTTCAAGTTGGCTTGCGAGCGTGAGGGTTGGGGCGGGGTGCGGGGGAGCGGTCCTTGAGATTGCTCAGGTGGCATAAATTAGGGCGGGATTGCCACAAGAGGGCGCAGTTTATGGTCATGGAGTTTGAGGGTAAATTTTTCTGCCAGTGAGCGCCAACACTGAAAAAGGCAAATTTCTTTTTCCGTTGTAGAGGTGAGGTTTTTCCGTCTTGTTTTCCAGCCTGTCCTTATACAGAGTATGTAATGACTCCTGTCAGCCTTCCCTCCTTAGGTGAGCCCCGGGCTTTTTCTTCTGCTCCCTGAGCCCCTTGTGCCCTCAAAGGGGAAGCTTAAGGTCATCAACAGGATTAAGGAGCTATCACAAGGAGCCAGGCTGATTTCCTGTCTTGTTTTTTAACTTGAAAACCATCTCTTTTTGCTCTCTTTCCATCTCAGTGATGTATGATAAGTTGAATCTCTGGTTAGGATATCTAATCAGTTATATTTCGGGTAGTAGAAACTGATAGTTCACACATAGAGTCGGAACGTTGATTAGTCTTTGATGGCCATTCCTGTCTCAGAACTTTGACCTAACCATTCTTTGAGGTTCAATTCCAGTCATACCTCTGTCCACCCTCAAAGCCATCCTTGATTACCTGGGTCAACATTGATCTATTCGAGCTATACATACCCTTGTTTCACCCTGTTGACCAACAAATACTGCTTCTAACCAGTTCTTTCTGGTTAGTTATATACACGTATTTAAACCCAGCTTAATTATCTCAATTTCTGAATTTCCAATAAACTGATTGTTTTAAAAATGTATGTTTTATACTTGCAACTTCTTTATGGTCATTATTCAGACTTGTTACTTTATGCTTGTTAATTATAACCTTTTCAGGTATATAAAAGTCTGTCATAGACTGATTCTGATGACATAGAAATTAAACTCAGCTTCTGATACTATCTTATAGTTTGTGTGTGAGTGTATCTCACACACGCATATATACATATTTACCTACACAGTCCATTAACATCCTCATTTTATTTTTTTGTTGGTGGGGGTAGTAACAAATCTGATTTGAAAAAGCTGTTTTTAACTTTCTATAAAAGTAATATAACTACAGTTGTAAACAGCAACAAAAGTCATAGCCAATTTATTGAATATTAGAAAATTTTGATCTCAAACCCTATTTTTATTTTTAAGTATATTTTTTATTGCTTATGCTGTTACACTTGTCCCATTTTTTTCTCCCCATTTTCCCCCTCTACCCTGCACATCCCCTTCCTCCAGTATTCCCCTCCTTAGTTCATGTCCCTGGGTCCTACATGTAAGTTCTTTGGTTTCTCCATTTCCTACACTATTCTTAACCTCCCCCTGCCTCTTTTGTACCTGCCATTTATGCTTCTTATTCCCTGTACCTTTTCCCCCAGCCTCCCCTCACCCCCTCCCAGCTGAAAACCCTCTGTGTGATCTCCATTTCTGTGATTCTGTTCCTGTTCTACTTGTTTGCTTAGTTTGTTTTTGTTTTTTAGGTTCAGTTGTTGATAGTTGTGAGTTTGTTGTCATTTTACTGTTTATATTTTTGATCTTTTTCTTAGATAAGTCCCTTTAACTTTTCCTACAATAAAGTCTTGGCGATGATGAACTCCTTTAACTTGACCTTATCTGGGAAGCACTTTATCTGCCCTTCCATTCTAAATGGTAGCTTTGCTGGATAGAGTATTCTTGGATGTAGGTCCTTGTCTTTCATGACTTTGAATACTTCTTGCCAGCCCCTTCTTGCCTGCAAGGTTTCTTTTGAGAAATCAGCTGATAGTCTTACGGGATTGCCTTTGTAGGTAACTGTCTCCTTTTCTCTTGCTGCTTTTAATATTCTCTCCTTATCTTTAATCTTGGGTAATTTAATTATGATGTGGCTTGGTGTGTTCTTTCTTGGATCCAGCTTCTTTGGGACTCTGAGCTTCCTGGGCTAGAAGATATTTTTTAAACCTATAATCTCATTGTTAGCATTTTGATAATATTTGTCTACGTCTAATGAGTTTTCACACTATATATGATACTGCTTTTTTTCATTTAACATTATTCCTAAGCATTTTCTAATGTCAACTCTGATTTTTTTATTTAAATCAAAGTAATGAAAATAGTTTGTAAATTCAAGCACTATAAGTAAGCCAGATAAAATATATGTCTCCCTCCCCTCACCCATGACTAGAGCCTTCTCCCCTTAGATTATCATTACAGTATGTAATGTGTATATGTGCATATCTATAAGACATTTAGCATATCTTTACACAGGTAGGTTCCTGCTCTACATACTGTTACATACTTCTTTTTTTCACTTAATAATATGTCCTGCACACCTTTTCATATCAATATACATAGACCTACCTAAGAATTTTTATCAATTACCAATATTCCATTATCCCCTATCCTAGCTACTCCTTTATTAATGGATGATTCTATTGAATAATTACATTTGTGGTTACTATACTTTGATCTGCATCTTAGTTTCTGAACTACTCAGTATCATTTTTGCTATATTATAAACTTCATATTTAATTATATTCCCTTAAATAATTCTTAATATTTGCAAGTTATATGTTTCCCACCTGATCTCAAAGGAGAAAGGACCTCTAACTGAAATTTATTTTAAACTATCATAATGGAAACATGATAGGCATCAACAAATACAGGCATACCTCACTTTTGTGCTCCACTGTATTGAGCTTCGCAGATACTGCATTTTCACAAATTGAAGGTAATACCCTCCACCAGCAAAAAGATTACAACCTATTGAAGACTCAGATGATGGTTAGCATTTTTTAACAATAAAGTGTCTTATAAGGTATGTACATTTTTTAGATATCATAAATTGCACGCATAATAGGCTATAATATAAACATAACTGTTATATACACTGAAAAACCAAAAATTCATGTGGCTCACTGCATTGGGAGACTCATTTTATTGCGGTGGTCTGGAGCTGAACCCACAATATCGCCAAGGTTTGCCTGTATATATTTGATTGCTTGGCAGGCAGGTTTGGGGTCAGAGTTTTTTTATTTGTTTGGTGTATGTGTGTGTTTGCTTTCATTTGAGTTCACCTTTTTACAACGAGTTACTGTCTTATTTTACCAATTCAGTTGAGTGGCCACCATAACTAGTCTTGGGCCATTTTCTGAAGGAAGTATAAAAGAATCATAAGTTAGTTCCAGAGTTTGCACATAGGTTAGAAATATAAGAAACACACAAAATTATGAAATAATAATGTAAGGCCAACTTCTGTCATGGACCCATCATTATATTAGTTTGAACCATATAAAACTGCTGGTACTCAGCCATATTGACCTACAAAAAAGACAATTTTAGCCCTGGCTGATGTGGCTCAGTGGGTTGATAGACAGCCTGCAAACCAAAAGTCACTGGTTCGATTCCCAGTCAGGGCACATGGCTGGGTTTTAGGCCAGGTTCCCAGTTGGGGGCATGCAAGAGGCAACCATGTATCTCTCACACATTAATGTTTCTCTCCTTTCCTTTGCCCCTCCCTCCCCCTCTTTCTAAAAAAAAGTAAATCTAAAAAAAAACAAACAATTTTACGTGATTGAGCCCAATCTGCACTTAGGATTCTAAGAAGGAGAGAACATGAGCTTTTCTAATACATGAGGAGGGTAGCAAAAGAGAAGGTATAGAGTCTGGAATTAGCATGGTACCTATAGAAGTTTATGAGGAAATAGTTTTAAGTTAGGTGAATAACTTTGAACTTTAAGTTAAGCTGAATATGAGGTATGCTAGAAGATATAGTAGAATAGAAAAGCCTTGAATATTTGGGGACTGAATGCCAAGTTGGAGGTGTTTGGAACTTTTCTTCTGTCTCTAACTTTTATCCTTTATGCCACTGATCCTCAAACTTTGGTGTGCATCAAAACAACCTGGAGGGCTTGCTGAAAAAGAGATTACCCTGCCTCACTTCCAAACTTTCTGATTCAGTATGTCTGGGTGAAAGGCAATAATTTAACGCGTTCCCAGGTGATAGTGATATGTATGCCACTAGTCTGGTGACTGCGCTTTTGAAAACCATTGGTTTAGGCTATAGGAGACTTACTACGTATATTTAAACTGCATTTAAATATACTATACTAAACACAAAGAACACTCCATGAAATTACTTTTTTGACATTATGTAGGATTGTGCAGAGTAGATTGGGAGGAGTGATGATAACATGCCTGCTTTATGAATGCATTATTAAAATGTAATATAATTATACATAATTACATAATTGAGGTCATCCCAGTTACCCTGCACATTGCTAGCTCTCTCACCTGACCCAGCCTATTGGATTCAGTCTGTGCCCGTGTTGGACAGCAAGGAGCCATTCCTTTTTTGATTTAGTTGTTTGTTTTTCTGCCCTTTCATTCTTTTTTTCCCAAGCTAAGAACCATGTTAGGAGGTTGTCAGAACTGTAACTTTTTAAACATTTTATTCATGTTCATTATTTTACTTCTGTTTTGGCAATTTCCTTTCTTCAAATAGAGAAAACTTTTTATGTTATTTTCATTTCAGGACAGGAAACAGAAGCCCAAGAGGGTAATCCAGTTAAAAACATTCCTAAACTCACAACAGGTGGAACCCAGACCATCAAATTGGAAGAACCAAATGACTATGGTGACAGATTAGAGACTCAAGCACCAGATACCTTCAGGAAAATTCCCTCTGGAGAAAGAAATTTCTGTTTGAAGTCAGTTTTTTCACAAGAAGATGATCCTACAGAAGAGTATCTTAGTAAATATGATATATATGGGAATCATTTTGAAAAGCACTCAAACCTAATTATACAGTTTGATACTGAGTCAGATGATAAAACTTCTATATATAATGAAGGCAAGGTAACCTTCAATCATGTCTCATATGGTATTGTACATAGGAAAATTTATCCTGGAGAGAAGCCTTATAAATGTAATGTGTGTGGGAAAAAGTTTAGGAAATACCCATCCCTCATGAAACACCAAAGTACCCATACCAAAGAGAAATCTTATGAATGTGAAGAATGTGGGAAAGAGTTTAGGCACCTCTCATCCCTTATTGCACATCAGAGAATGCATACTGGAGAAAAACCATACGAGTGCCACCAGTGTGGTAAAGCCTTCAGCCAGAGAGCACACCTTACTATACATCAGAGAATTCATACAGGAGAGAAACCATATAAGTGTGATGACTGCGGGAAAGACTTCAGTCAGCGTGCACACCTTACTATACATCAAAGGACACATACTGGAGAGAAACCATATAAATGCTTGGAATGTGGTAAAACCTTCAGCCACAGTTCATCACTGATTAATCATCAGAGAGTTCATACTGGAGAGAAACCTTACATATGCAATGAGTGTGGGAAAACTTTCAGTCAGAGTACACACCTTCTTCAACATCAAAAAATACATACTGGAAAGAAACCATATAAATGCAATGAGTGTTGGAAAGTATTTAGTCAGAGTACTTACCTTATTCGACATCAGAGAATTCATTCTGGAGAGAAGTGTTATAAGTGTAATGAATGTGGAAAAGCCTTTGCTCATTCCTCAACTCTTATTCAGCATCAAACTACTCACACTGGAGAGAAATCCTACATATGTAAAATATGTGGGAAAGCCTTCAGCCAGAGTGCAAATCTTACTCAACATCATAGAACACATACTGGAGAGAAACCATATAAATGTAGTGTGTGTGGAAAAGCATTCAGCCAGAGTGTACACCTTACTCAACATCAGAGGATTCATAATGGAGAAAAACCCTTTAAATGCAACATATGTGGGAAAGCATATAGGCAGGGTGCAAATCTTACTCAGCATCAAAGGATTCATACCGGAGAGAAACCCTATAAATGTAATGAATGTGGGAAAGCTTTTATTTATTCCTCATCACTTAATCAGCATCAGAGGACTCATACTGGAGAAAGACCTTATAAATGTAATGAATGTGATAAAGATTTTAGCCAGAGAACATGCCTTATTCAACACCAGAGAATTCACACAGGAGAGAAGCCCTATGCATGCCGCATATGTGGTAAAACCTTCACTCAGAGTACAAACCTTATTCAGCATCAGCGTGTTCATACAGGTGCCAAACATCGTAATTAATAGGTGTGGGAGACTGTATTTAGGTGTTACAACTTAATCATTCAAATTTTATTCTGTACTCTTGAGTGTTAACACATTATTCAAAAGAAGTGCAATATGCTTGTATGTTAGATACCACTGAGCAGAAGTATCCATATTCATAATGTGGATATAACCTGTATAAATTTAATGTGAAATTTGAAAAGAAAACTTCATTCACTCCTTAACCTTTATTTGATTTATTCCAGAAAGAAACCCTGTGAAAGTAAGAGTACTCAGAAACCTGTAACTCACCAACTCTTACTGTATTTCAAGTACTATGTGAGGCCTTATGAATTTAACTTGTGAGAGCTTCCATCAAGTAGAGAGTAATCCTGGGGTGATAGAAAAGCTGCTTTCAGGCCTTTACTTCTTCCCAGCTTTGAAGCCTTAAATGTGTAAAGGGTTCCTCCCCTTTTTGACTCTTCCTTTTCGTGTTATGCCATAACTGTCATGAGCCAGCAGGTTTGAGAAAAATTTGAAAGTATCTTAAAGATTTCTGTGTGACCACTGTTTAATTATACTTTGTTTTAAATACTGAAGTATTCAAGGAAGAGAGCCTTGATGAAAGATGATGTTCAGATAGAGAAACTAATGTGTATATAACCCTTAGACATGTACAAATTTAGTGAAACAGGCAAAAGTTAAACAGCCACGCTTAAATTAATCTTTAGAACAGTCTTAGTTTCACTAGGGGGTTTTTCTATTATTTATTTATTTATTTTTATTATATTTTTTTATTGTATTTCTCTAGGTTTTGACATCTGTTATCCTATAGAAAAAAATAAGAATATAGTTTTCATTTTTCTTCACCTGACTCCAAAATATATAACTTAAGGTTCCCCTGTGACTGTTTTACTGTAGAAAGTCCATTTCTTCCATTGAAAAACATGTTTCTTGAGTGCCTACTGTGCTCAGGGCCCAAATTTCCTAACTGATCCTTTCCGGGCTTCCTGTAGTGCTGCAGAAGCTTTCTACACTAATGAAAGATTAAAGTAAGGACATGAGCTTAAGTGTGTCGTGAATGAGAATAAGAAACCTAAAATAGGTTGCCACATTCGACCCTGTATCCTAAGGTAAGGAAGTAATAAAATCACTTAAATAGTGTGAGAAAAAAAGTAATGGAATACAGATATGATTTCAGTGCGGAGAGTGGGTCAGGGAAGAAAATCAAGATGAAGACAGGAAAGGATACATAGGTAACGTAACATGAAATGTTATTGGACTTGGTTTACCTAAAAATAAGAGTAACGGGATACAAAGCAAAATTCATCCTGTTGTCTGCAAGAAGAAACTAAAAAATGAAATGATTTTTAAAGGAATAATCAATCGGTTTTCCTTCATATAGATAAGTAAAATAGGGTAGAGTCTTAAGATATCAGAAAAAAATTCATTGGAAAAAGTATAGGTGCAGGAACTATCATTGGTGCAGTAATCATTAAACAGTAATAACTGAGTTTGTCAGAATCCTAAACAACATAAAAGGAAGACTGGCAGAAATGCAAATAGAAATAGGTAAAAACACTATTGCACTTAATCCATAGCATTCCACTTTCAGAATATAAGACCATATTCCAAGAGCTGAGACTTCATCCTGCTCTTGTTTCTTCAGTGCCTTGCATATATAGCAGGTGGTCAGTATATGTTGAATTAATGAATAAGTTGAGTGATAAGGGAGGATTAACTGAAATGCAGTAAAATTGGTAGAATATTTTGTACATATATGTGAAGAAATATTAACCAAATACTGGTCAATTGGTTAGTTAATTGGAACTACTTAATGAAAAACCAGAATCCTCAGATATCAACAATGGGGATATTCCTAAGAAATTATGGGACAGCTTTGCACAGAAAGTTTGAAAGTTTTTCTGAGCTAGAAGAGAAAAAATTGGTATAAATTCTGGCGCCAAAATTATCAGTTTAAACGTGTTAACCATGTGTATTCATTTGGACGTGACTTTATATAAACATCCTACAAACAGGTGCTGAAGGAAAGACATCTTGAAGGCTTTCTTGTTGAGTGTTTTCTTCAAGAAGTTGCTTTCGCTTGTCCTCACCTTCATTAACCTTGACGTCATGGAATCACCCTTCGCAAAGTGCAGATTGTCCTAGTTTGCATTATACTCAAATTATGCTTATGCCATAGTTATTAGGTTAAAAGATAACCATTGTACTTAAGATGCAGTTTTTATAATGCCACTTAATACCTTACACAACACTTTTTTCTCTTCGAATGAATGTGTGAAGTATTATAGTCCATAGCATCTTTCTTTGCATTAATTTGTATTTCCTGCTTTTATGTGTTTTATGTAAATAATGCATTTATAAGGTCTTCCACTGATACACCGAAACAATTGATGCCCTTATAAAATAATATAATAATAATAGTGGAGAATCCTAGATCTTTGTGTACTTTTTCCACTTTTACAGTTGTCTGGCCCAAATATAATTCAAGTTTTTTATTTTCCACAACTTTTTATTACAAAGATGTTCAAATATACAGAAAATTAAAGAATAATAAACTATATCTGCCACTTAGATTTCAAAGTTTGCATTTTGCCATATTTTTTGAACAATTGGAAAGTAAGTTAAAGACATATTTCACCCTTAAGCATGCATCTCATGCTTAAGTTGAGTCTTTTTACATAACTACAGTACCATTACATACCTCAGAAAATGAATAGTAATTCCCTAATATCTAATGCTTAGCCCATGTTTAAATTTTCCCTGTTAATCCAGTCAAGTTTCACACTTTGCTTGATTGTTATGTCTGTTCTAAAACAGTCTCCCAACTTTGATTCTTCACTCTGCCCCCAGGGCTTTTTTATTTTTTAATTTATTTTTCTAATAGAGCAGGTGAGTTGTAGAATATTTCACATTCAGGATTTAACTGATTGTTTACAGTCAGTTTTTCAAATCAGTGAACAGATGAGAGGTTTGTTTATCTTGTTCCTGTAGTTTCTGTAAATTAGCAGTTAGGGCCAAAGGCTTGATGTATTTGGGTTACACGTTTTAACTAACACTTCTCAGATATATGTCATATTGCACCATATCAAAAGTCTTACTAATACCTGGTTGGCTGTCAGTGGTGCAAAATTAGATCACTCAGTTGAGGTGTTCACCACTGTATCTTCCCAATGGCAAGGTATGTGTTTCCTGGTACAATTAGAAAATCTGTGCGCTGAGACCTTGACAGCATGTTGGGAGCCTGTTTACCCCCAACTTTCACCTTGTGGTTGTGGTATCCACGGATAGTTATTCCTGCCTGAATCGATTATCTCCAGGTTTGCAAAATGGTGACTTTTCTAATTCTGTCGTTCTTTCCACATTTGATTTGCATGCTTCTGTAAGGAATAGCCTCTCTCCATCAACTGGAATACACTTGAGGCAGGATCAGGCTCAATTCCTTTCCTTAAATTATGAATTGTCAGAGTAAGGAGCTGGCAGTGATGACAAACAATTCAATGTGTTATGATAAATTATGATCATTACTTCCAATGCTCAAATTATCCCAAATTTGGCAGTTGGAGCCCTTCAGGGAGTTCCGAAATCCTTCGACATTCCCTCTCGGGTCCTTCAGCACTTAATTGCTTTCTGACAGAAGACACCTTGGGTTCACCTTGCACTTGCAATGCCCCAGATGAACCATTTCTCCAGGTATTCCTGGCTCTTTTTAATAGGCATCTGTTTAGAAAACAAGATCTGGGCACTAGGCACGCTCATTGGGGTGGGATTAGCAAGTAACCTTTGAACCTTTCCAGCCATTCAACTCAGTTTTCATTAAGACAGTCCTACTTGTCTAATACCTAGTTATGTAGTGAAGGAGAATTATATACTGGGGGAAACTTTCAGGAGCAAACAAAATCTTGTTAAATACTCAACTAAATAGGAGAGAATAGGAGTGTTAAGTGTACAAGAAAGCAGCAAACCTAACTACAAAAGGCCTGTGCTGAGACCATTAGGGAATTTCACAGAGGAGGAAGGTTTTCAGTTGACCTGGCAAGCAGGTTAGGTGAAGAGCAACCCTAGATGTATGGCACCTACTATGTTGTGCTTTAACTGTTATATGTCTTGATAATTTACTGTTACAAAGTAATCACACTTCTTTCCCATCACATTCCTTAAGGCAGTTTTCTGATCTAAATTTGAGGATCTGTTCTATGCAAATCTAAACACTAGGGTTTGTGGGGGGGGCGGTGGGAGTTTTGTTTTTTTGCTAAACTGTTAGTTGGTCTTTAAGACTATTAGGTTTCATTCTTTGGCTCTATCTTGTACCAATTCGCTTGCATCTGTCCCTGCAAATGTACTCTTCTTAGTCCTCTTACGTCTGTCACTCTCTTCCTGACTCTCTATTTCACTATACTTACTGTCCCCTAGGACACTATATAGCCATTAAAAATGGCGAGCATATGCCCTCTGGTGATGTGTATACACATATGTGTAAGCTTGTAAGTAACCGAGTGCTCTGTGTGGGCAGAGAAGGTGACGCCCATGAACCGAAGTGTCTTGCCTGAGGTCATATACATACATTTACGGTGACAAATAAGGGTTGGAACCCATTGCTCCGGCACTAGATTGAGTTCTTCCTGTGAATGTTAAATGAAAATTTGGAGCACAAAAAGTATGCACCTACAAGTTATAAATGTGTTTTGATTAGAGCCCTGAAAGTTTTCTTCCCCTCCCGTAGTTTCTGAAATTCAAATCTTTAAATGAGAGAGACTCAGCAAAGGAAGCGCCACCCCCTTCAGTTTTGGTCTTCTACCCAGATCTGTGCCAAGTTTCAGAACCATGCAGTCAGTAATCACCTGGAATTCTCTCACAAGCACTTTAAGTGGTTTAATTTAAAACTGAATTGTTTGCACCCCCTTAACCCCTTTTTAAGTCGCCATAACTTTGGGAGGCAAGAAGCCACTCTTCTTCACCAGCAGTTACTTTTGTCCTGCTGGTTCTATCTCCCGTGTGTTCCAGTTCATTCGCCTCTATCCCCACTGCCACTAATTTGCTTCTGGCTTTTAAGTAGCTTTTTTAGATTCTTTTGTAGCCAGGTAAGTGTTCACCCTGCCCCTGATTTTACCCTTTCAATGTCCTTTGCACAGTTTTGCCGCAGTAATCTGAGAACTGACTAGAACCACCATATACAACTGTACAGACCACAGTGTGCTTGAAACCTGACACATCTGGTTGCTGTCAACAGCAGTGGATATCACTCAGGTATACATTTGAATGAGCTGGGGAGTTTTTAAAAGTACCAATGCCAGGGCCCCACCTCTAGGAATATTGAATTACTGTATTTTGCTGTGTATAACAGGCACGTTTTTTGCCCAAATTTCTGAG